GAAATCCGTCATTATTTCGGCATTGGCATTACTGTAAATCCCATGTTCTTTAACACTATTCAGTTGATACTGTGGGAGAATAAACACAAAGGCCTTTGTTATRTCAAGAAATGAGAGAAAATGTGAATGTCATTACTATAACTCTGTATGTAGAAGAAATATCTTATCTTGATTGATCTACTCCTGATTGCTCCCATTTCAGCTCTTGTATAGATTTGTTTGCAAGTTAACACTTTATACTGTGCTGAATGTCACCAAATGAGTTACAAAAAGCAAAAGAAAAATTCACACTTCTATAATTATATTCTGTTTTATAATTATATTTATCTCTTGTCCCCCCACTGAGCATTTCAGTAATTTGTATGTTTTTTTTACCTGATGCATACCCTAAAGAGATTAAAGGAATAATGTGAAAGACTGATAGGAAAGCAAAATGATAGTCACGTATGTGTTCATTCAGTATTGATGGTGACAAAGTCTAATGAGTTTTTCTCAGTCCTGGGCCAACATTTTAGTAAAAATTACTAACTGTGTTTGAATTTGGCTAAATTAAATAATTAAATRCTGAAAATGGTTCTCTTTTACACTTGAACAGAAATCTGTCTCATAGGTATGGACATAAGAAACCTGTTACTTAACTTAAAATTCTTCTCTTTAACCATTTTTTTATCCCTAAAAAAAAAAAAAAAAAAAAAAAAAAATGGGAGAGAGAAAAAGAAAAATCTTGCAGACTTCAGTTATCCAGGGTCTGATTTTGAATTACTGAAATATACGGAATGCACACAATTAAAACTCTGTTTAAGGTGGTCTAGACTCCTAGCAGAAGGATAAATCATAGTTGTATTTCATCTGGGTAGCTTAATGCAAAATTGAGATGGGTTATTGAAAAAATAACTCAAAACTAATGATTATGATAAGCTATGGCTAAAAGGAGGTTTCATGCTTACTAATCTCATCTTGATAAACTAGAGATTATTTTGCAATAACAATATCATAATACTAAATTTGAAGTTGTATAACCTGAAAAAAATGGAATTCCATATTCATGAGGTGATAATTTTCTATCTTAAGCTGTCTCTTTTTTTGTAAGTAAGTGATAAAGATGAGGTTTACGTACTGTTTTGATGTTTGCTATACCCCCAGCATAGGTAGGTCTGCACATCTAATTGAGGCTCTGCAGTGATTTGAGTAGATTATGCACTCCAGATAGTCACTGCGGTGGGTTGCCAAGTGACCTGTAGGTCTTTCTGAATACATGTCAGCATATTTTTGTGCCAGATCACAAATTGAGTAATCCAGTGCCTCTGCCATTCCTGTCACTTTATTTGTATTTATTGTGACTGGCTTTTGCACACTGTAAATGGTACCAGTGGAATTGACTGTGCTTTTATATAGAAGAAGGGTCACTATAAAAATGACTAGAAGATGATATGTGACTAGGGAATAAATAGTACTCATTCCCAGTGAAATGCAGYGAGTGCGTGGACATTATGTTGTCCTGATAATGTCCATGTAAAAGATGTACAAGAGGTACATCTATAAATAAAAAGAGTATTTTGAAAGCTTATACATTTACTGGAAATTGCAGGAGCTAAAAATTCTTGTTTTTCTTTCCCATTGTTGGAACAGGCCACTCCCACATGTCCTGTTGAGTTCTCAACTTGTATTCCTGATAGAGGCTAGCAGCTGAGGCTGCATTCACTTGCTGAAATGTGTGAGTGTGAAACACTTGATGCTGTAGAGCATCTAGCTTCTCATGCTGTAAAGTGTTAGCCTTGCCCAAATCACCTTTTTGACATCAGATGTGTGCAGATGACTTGGACATACCAGAGTAAATACCTGTAGTTGCCTGTAATTAGGCACTTGAGTGGAACTTCTAATTCCTCTTGCTTGTTTCATTTCATCAATGAGTTTTACTCATATGTAGAAGTTAGATATAATTTCCTGTGTGTAGTAGMTTTATGGCAGTATGAAATTATGCTTCACTGGTATGTTTCAAATATAATAGATCCTTTGAACTATGTGTAGTTTCTTCCTTGTTACAATAATGAGAAAGCTTACCTGCCTTTTTTGAGATTGCTCCTTTCSAATAGGAATAAGAAATCTTGAAGTTGTATCATTGTTCAGTATTTATTTACTGCTCTTTAATTATAAGGGGAGCACAGATCTTCCTTTGTCTTCAGTCAAAAGAAACATGTCCTTATCTTTTATACGTATGTAGGAAATGCAACTTTATCATCAGTGAACTCAGATTTCAGTTGAATATTTTAGAGTGTATATGTGCCTAATTTTTTCATCAGATTTCAGATTTTATTTGTTTTGTAGTGAAACATATCTGAGCAAGTAAAATATCCATACCTGTGCTTTTGTCATATATTCATGAAAATTAAAATAATGTAGATTCTCAAGCAATACAAATATGTAGAATCCTACAAGAGGTCATGAATCTTGAAATTATGGTAATTTTCATTGCAACTATATCTGTGTCCAGAATCCAAATGCTATGACTTAAGGCAGAGTGAAAATGATCTCTTTGAAGGAAAAGTTGAAGGTTTGTAAGCCATGTCTTTTAACTCTAGTTAATCAGGGGAGGGAGGGAAAGAAGGCTCCTAACATCCTGCTTGTTGAAGCATATACAGTTCTTTGCAGTATATTTAAGTTAAATGAAGGCAGGGTTCAAATATGATGTGTTGACTAGTTTGGGGGTATTCTTATTTGTTTGATTTGTGGTTTGTTTCATTTCTCAGCACCTTGGAAACTTAAGTTCTAGCACAGTGGGAGTAAGCAATTACTTGTTTTGATAGGTGTGACTCAAACTTAAGCGAGTTCTCTTCCATTGACAAACTGTTGTATTGCATAAAAGACTGCTTTTAGGCCTGCAACCTGGACATCACTAAGCTTTTTTTAAGGAAAATAAATAAAATTCCATTCACAAGTCAGCTAAGTAWTATATAAAATGCAGGAGGCTATTGAGGGTAATATATTTAGCTATAGAGTTTAACCTTTCACTCTCAAATAGATTAARCATAATCATTGCAGAGACCCATAGGAAAATTTTCACATTCTTGATTTTTTTTTCCTTGCTTTGTTTTAATTCTGCTTAGCTTGCTATGTACTATTCGGTAGGATGAGGATTGATTTTCAGTTTCAAATTTAAACTTACGGAAATAATTTTACTGAAGGGGAAGGAAGGGACATAAGTGAGGGACATAAGACTGGGTGAGTCTGAGATAAAAAAGAAAATCCAGTTTATTAAAAAAAAGTGAGATCTGTTAACTTTAAAAATTGCATTCTTAATTCCCTTTCCTAGAGTACCACCTGGCATTTTCATGAAAACTAGAGGAATTTTTGTTATTGTTCTTTTTTCTTTTTTCTTTCCTCATCTTAGCATGCTTAACTCTTTTCAGAGCCCATTTGCCTGTGTTTCTGCTGTGATACCTTTCCTCTGTGTTTGTGAGGTCTCCAAGATCACTTGTAATTTTTTTCTCCTAAGTGTGGTTGTTTGAATAGCAGTCACAAAGAGTAGTACAGGTTGCGGGTTTTTTTGTTTCTATTTTCAAGGTAAGAGGTTYCTGTGAACCCTTTGCTGCCCGGTCGAACACTCGAGACAAGTATGTTGGGTCGTTTATCTGATCTTTTGGCTCAACATCCCCTCTAGTTACTGAAGGGAGACATGGACTACAGCACTCTGGCAGGTGGCAGAGAATGTATTCTGCTCTGCTGTATATTCACATGATGGTGAAATGGGCCCTGTGTTTCTCATTTGCTTTCAGATCAGAATCGTCTGCTGATCTCAGGATGAGAGATCACTGTGGTGAAGCAGGGAGCATTTGTCAGACTGCAGGGGAGGTYTCAGCATCTATTGTAGTTGTGGGCTCTGTGCTTCTTTCTTCAGACTGTTTTCTTCATAGTATCTRTGTTTAAGCTTAAAGTTTATCATTCCTGAATAATTCTTAATGTGTTCAGAAAGTAAAGCGGTATCCACATGAATAATTTCACTATTTTATTATCTTCATTAAAAGAGCAACTTCTTTCTTTCCTTGCGTTTGCCTTTCATTGCTAAAGTGACAGTACTAAACATATCTTTAGAGATACAGAAGGCAAAGACATGCATGAGAAGGAAATTAAAACATAGGTTAACAGCAATAGCTGACTTTTCAAAGGAGACTACTTAAAAAGATAAACATACTGATAGAAAAGCCACTGTGCGAGATCTTTGCTGAAATGAAGCTGAGAGCTGAAAGTACATTTCTTCCCCTATTACTGTTAAATTAAATGTTAATGACCTTTTTCAAAAAATTGTTGGGGGAGGAAGGGAGGAAAGGAACGATTGTTTGTATTTWAAAAAAATAGTTTTAAGCCTGAAACCACCTTTGACATATAAGCTGATAGTATCACTGCCAAAATTCAGTTTGAAGTTTACCCTTATCTGAAATCTGCTAGAAATACAAATGGGTGTGTTTTGCTTGAGTAATCCCTTGTAAATGCAGTGGTGCCAGCAGCACTGTAATAATGACTGTAATGTCTTTGAAGGCACTCAGAAGCTTCCGCTCAAAGACACTCTTAAATAATTAAATCTTTTTTCTTTTTTCAATTTACATGGAATATGTAATAACTTCCCCCAAGGACCAGATTTTCTTCCTTCCTTTCTTTCTCATGAAAAGCATAGGGTGTTTTAATTTAAAGAACTGCTTTCTAAGTTCAATAGTAAAGAAAGGTGGTGGAAGAGCAGGTCCAGATTGTTATTTGTTGAGACCCTTAGTTACCTTTTCTTTATTCAGAAACGCCAGCTTGAAAAACCTGTGTACCCTCTGAGGTGATCCTAGAAGCCCTGGTTCCCTCCTCCAAATAAAGGGAGGTGTTTTATCCACTTTGCTATGTGCTCTCTGGCTCCTGCCAGTTCATTCTCTGACCATTTTTGTGGTCCATTTGCAAGACCAGTTGCCTACCTGTCTTTACATAGATTTAATTTTTCTTTTTTTTTTTTTTTTTTTTGACAGATAGCGAGCGTCTCTATACAGTCGTTTTTGAAGAGATCTGTGGACGTTTTGGAAAGGTCTATAACTGGGATGTGAAATCACAGGTTATGGGTAAACAAGCTCTAGAAGGAGCAGAGATTATTCGAGAACTTCTAGATCTTCCAATAACCAAAGAAGAAATATTAAATGAAAGTAAAATTGGGCAGGAGAAGATATTCCATACTGCTGAGTTGATGCCAGGTATGTTTCTTTGCAATATTTATAAATTCTTTATAGAATTATTTAAATGGTAATCAAGGTAGAAATTTGTAACCTCTCTTTGGCAAAGCAGTTGCTCTTACAGATTGTGTTTCACCRCTCTTGTTTTAGAAAATTTACTCAAATCTCCCTATTTACCTGTTAAAGAAGGGTATTTTGCCTGTTAAAGTTGACATTTTTTTTCCCATTTACTTGTAAAAAAAGCCTTTTTTCATATGTTTTAAAAGAACAAAGAAGACTAGATACACGTGCATTAATTCTGTTTGGTAAACTAGACATTCTTTATAATTATTGTTGCCAGCTGTGTTTTCCCTGGCTATGAGCATAGTCTGACTTTGTTAAGCACAGATGCTTTTGCCTTCACATTTTAAAGTATATGAGCGTGCGATTTCTTTCTGTTGGGATTAATATGGCATAACCTGAAAATTGTAATTCAAGAAGAGGGAGGATTTTTCAGGTTATCCTAAGGCAGGTGAGTTTCCTTACCTTCTGAAGATATGTGTCTTCTACCAATGATTGTGCAGGATGTCCAAATGAGTAACTTCAATTAGGTAACTCAAGATAAGCAAGGGGATAAATCTTGCCTGTAGTGTGAATGCATACTTCTGTATTCAATTGCATTTAGATCTGAAATGCTTAGAGAGAAATCCTCAGCCATGCAATACTATCAGCACCTAAAGCTAGGATTGCTGCCAGCTTTATGTATAATATTAAACTTTCTGGAGCAAATATCAATAGTTTATGAAGAAAAAAAAAGAGGAGGAGAGGAATATAAAAAAATATTAGAAGTGAAATAACTTCATGTAACTGTATGTTTAACAGTTATAWTTTTTTCTCTTTGAACATATGCTCTTTTGTTCTGACAATCTCTGCAGCACATTACGTTTTTTGGTTTTAGTTTCTTTTTTATACCTAGTTTCATAATGCATTAAGAGGATGAAAGTTAGAACTATGGCATATGTTAGGAATAAATAATAAGCAGCAAAAATAAAAGATGTGATTTGTTTCAACAGCTTAAAAAACTTTACTATGTTGTGTGTCCAACTTACTTAGTTATATGTCTAACTTAGTTATCTCTCTATATCTTTTATATGCAAGATTTTTCAGTTTGCATCTCTATGACTTGGAGATCCACCTGAAACTGTAAGCCTAGTTAAACTTATGAGAAAAAAAACAAGAAAGTTAAATTTATGTGKTTTTCATTTTTCATGTCAAACTTCTAGGTCTAACTTTTAAAATATATCTTTTACAAGTCAAACAAAAATAAACCTTGTCTGGATTTAGAAAATGCCAGATGAACAGACTGGGTAAAATGTTAGGTAGCACAGTAAGGAGTTGCTGTAAAAAGACAACCCGAGTAATAGATGCTATTAAGTGGCTATTCTGTGCCTGCTGAAGGTTGTGATAATGTGGTTTGAGCTGTCTTGAACAGAGTTAGAAAGGTGATGGAACAGATTAGCCAAAGGAAACATGAATTTTTGTGCTGTTTCTGCCTTCAAAAAGTGAATTTTCAGCTCACTGAAGCTCTACTACCGTGGATGAAACAAGCAAAATTTGTACTTTACTGGAAAAGCAAGTAAACATTCTCATCAGCCACCTGTTCAGCTGATTATCTTTTAAGTTCAAATGAATACACATTATAACTTTTTTCAGGCTATTTTCTGAAGTAGAATTAATGTGAACTAGAATACTTCATGTTCAGAGGCCATTGTGGAGAGCARAGGCATCCTCGGTCACTAAAGTGATGTGATCTGTACTTTACTTGGTCACAGCATATGAGATAGAAGCTGAATTGCCATGAATTTTAAGAAACTGGGTTGATGTCAGCTACTAAGCTAGAGGAAAGTGGCTCCAGCTACTTACTATTTAGCTTCTTTAAGAACTGTTCTCCAGTTAACAGATTTTTTAATCCAATTCTTCTGTCCTTTTGTRTCTTCGGAAGATGTTTATTAATGTAATCCTTGTGGAGTTATTCTACAATCACTTGATGTTCTTTATTTAAGAAAAGGCTTCTTGCATGTGTTGTGCAAGATGTAAGACTGTGCTGACATTTTGAGTTTGCAGTGTTCTCTGACTAAACTGGTCTTTCAGATGGTTGCAGGTAAATACAGGAAAGTAAAAGTTAATTTTCATACTAATGGTGTAAGATGACTCTGAAGTGCTGTGTCTCTGGCCACTTTTTGACAGTTAATAGACACATGAGGTTCTATTTTTCGATCAATTTCTAAAGTTTGTCCAAAAAATTTGATTGAAAATTGATCTGGTGGAGAGCAATGCTAAACAGTGACCAATGAGTCAAAAAAAGTGACTCAAAGAAAGTAGCACCTTTTCAGAATGAGCTGTGCACATGGTCTTGCCTAAGATGATAGCTCTRTAAATTCCTAAATCAAGTAAATGACAGGTATGTCAGTGATGGTTAAGGAGAGTATGGAAGTTGAATGAATATTTAATTGGCAGAGTGGTTCTTTATCTGACAGGTTATAGAAACCTGTCCTGGTTCTGACTGAGATGGAGTTTATTTTCTTCTTAGTAGCAGGTGCAGTGTTGGATTTAGTACAAGAATAAAGTTGATAACRCACTGATGTTAAAGTAGTGCTTACTTCAAATCAAGGAGTTTTCATTTTCTCTTGCTGTACCAGTGAATAGGTATACAATAAGCCTGGAAGGAGCGTGGCTGGGACAGCTTGTCTGCACTGGCCAAAGGGATATTCCATATCATGGCACATCGGGCCTAGTATAGAAACTAGGGGCTGTTACCCAGGAGAGGGACCAGTTGTGGATTGAGGATAGGCATCAGTCAGCAGATGGTGAGCAACTGTGCTTTCCATCACTCTTAGGTTTTACCTCTCTCTCCCCCTCTCCCTTTTGTTTTACAACTGGTAGTATTGRTATTATCATTATTACTTTGTTTTGATCATTAATATGTTCTTATTTCAACCCACAAGTTACTTTTTTTTGTGATTCCTCTTCCCATCCCACCAGGGAGGACACGTACTAAGTGAGAAGCTGTGTGGTACTTAGTGTCCAACTGGGGTTAAATCATGGCACAAGCTGTATGACAGGAATACCACTTAATGTGCAACACCTCTGAACCATTAGTGGTTGAAAACAGTATTTTGTCTATTTCAGTATGGCCAAAGTGACAGACCAGCTTCAATACATTAGGCTGTGGTCAATTCTAAGAAGAGGCTACATCCATTTCTAATATGGAATTTTCTCATGACTATTTGAGGTTTTTTTCACAGTCACATTTATTTTTAGTTCTGAAACAATCTTAAGGAATGGTAATTTTGATTCAGTGGAGAAAGAAACGAATCCAAGACAACGTAAAATGACAGGTCTGTCTCTGTAMTGCTTTTCTAAATATTTCTCTCAGAGTACATTGTTATCGACAAGTGTAGTGTAGTAGGCTTTCTGTTTCTGCAAATGCATTTTGAACATTTCTTCATTGCAGGGAAGTACATAGTCCGAAGATGAGGGAATGACAAGTGGAACAGGAGGAARGCATGCATATGTATATTTACCTATACATATATAGGTGTCCTTTTGCATAAACCTAAAATATATGCAGAGTGAGAAAAACTGAACTACAAATTATAAAACTCTCAACAGCTGCTATAAACGTGTCAGGATTATGAAACTACTGCTGTTCTTTCACTGTAGTCTCTGGTTTTTATCTCATCATTATTATCACAAAGTACAGATCCCTAAGCGTTGTGTGACTGTGTATGCCCTTTCAGACATTTTCCATTCCTGGGTTGTTTTACTGGTAACTGGGGTTTAGTTGTTGCACCTCCTGTTCAGCCAGTGCAGAATGTGATGTGCAAGCTATTTTCCAGTTCAAGTACTGTTGATTGTCTCTTGCAGCTATGAGGAGGTAATTTCATACCTCAATTTTAGTACCAAATGAAGCCAGTCAGCATAAAAAGAGAAGAAAACAGCTCAAATTTCAGTGACAATTCACTCCAAATTTCTTTTTTTCTTGAACAGTTCCACTGAACCAGCAGTCTAGTTTGCTTAACTATTGTTTCYTTGATTCATGTTGTGCCCTTGACAGCTAGACAGACTTCCTACCATGGCATCTTTTCTTTTTCTTGCTGTTCTTATTTTAATGGTAGGAAACTCTAGTCAGTCCATGCTGGGCTCAGTGAGCCTGATACCCCTAGAGATCAGCCAATTATCTGCAAACTTAGAATGATGCTTCCTGTTTGGCTGTTATCAAATGTTTGGCCTTTACATAAGTCCTGAAGAACTGCAACCCAAACATGCTTTTATCTGGAAATAAGCAACAGAGTTGCTGGTTCTGAATTATGTAAAATGTAGTACCTATATTCTTTCTATGAGCATGCATGTGTCAGTATGTTCAGACTAAAATGAGAGCAATGATTTGGTTAGTAGGAAGTCTTTCTGACCAGAAGGATCTCTGATACTTTTCAGAGAGCAGTAGATGAGAATATAAAACTCTTTATTAATAGTCATTGTCTTCCAAAGTGAGGAATAGGTTGTTTCCCCCTCCAGTTTTGTAGCTTAGTGAAAGGATAAAATTGCGGATAGCGTGTTTAAACAGTATGTCATAACAAATAAAGAAGCAGGTTTATCAGAGAGTTACGTTTCCATAGTTTCATGAGATTGAGAAAAAGAATAGAAGTGTATCAGTTGGTAGGGACCTATGACTGTCATCTAGTCCATCTACGTGTTCAGGACTGACCAAGTTAAAGCATTCATAGGAATTAGACCTCTGTCACACTATCACCTTCGCAGCAGCAATCCAGATGTCACGTGAGGATTGGGAGCAAGTTTGTATAATTAATAGCATCAGTGATGTGCTTGCAATTGTTGTAGCACCCCTGACTACATTAAAAATATTTTAAAATTATTTTATTTAACTTAACACACAGCAGCTTCTTTTTCTAAGTGAGATTTTTTTTTTTTTGTTGAGTGCTTTTAATTTCAGAGGTTGCTGATGTTTCTTGTAGATTTGT